TATATAAATACTTTTGTTTTTCTCTTTTGAACAAAGTTCATAGATATTTAATGACAAGTAAAAAAGACTTCGTTAGTTACTAACGATTTTAATGATACATAGAGATCCTAGTTTCCTTCTATATACAAGGTAATGAAATGTTGTCCTTTTAGTACCACTAACGTGTTTAGTCATGTCATCGAGTACCATGAAGTACAATAATTATTTTTCTTTCAGATTTATTTTTATATGTATCGTCGATTATCAACATCTTCTACTTCTACTCTTCTTAAATCTTATTCATTGCCAATTAATAGTAAAGAATTAAAATCAAAATATTTACCTAAACATCGATTGTCATTAATCAATCATGAAACATCTATTGAAAAATTACAATCGTCATTATTTCCATCAGCTAATATTTATATAAAACGTGATGATCAACTTGATTCATATGCAAGTGGAAATAAATTACGAAAACTTGAATTTCTATTTGCTGATATTCTATCACGTTCACAATGTCAGCATATAATAACAGCTGGATCATTACATAGTAATCATTGTAAAGCCGTTGCAGTTCTCGCTGCACGATTTAAAAAACAAGCTCATATTTTACTTCGAACTGATCGTGATGAACACGATGAACAAATTTTACAAGGCAATGTACTTTTAAATTATTTATTAGGTAGTAAATTATATTTAATACCAAAAAAAGCTAATATTAAAGATGGAATTGAACCAAGAATGAAACAATTAGAAGATAAATTAGGTGGAAAAGATAAATGTTATTCCATTCCAATAGGAGGGTATATATTTCTTTTATAATAATAATAATAAAGAATTACATATATTTAGATCAGATACAGTTGGTTTATTTGGATATCTTGATTGTTTTATAAATGAAATTGTTCCATTAATTGATAAATATAATCTTGGTCATCTTGTTCTACCAGTAAGTAGTGGTGGTACAATGGAAGGACTTGTTCTTGGAAATTATTTTACTGGTAATCGTTTACGTATTCATGCGTTTGCTGTATCAGATAATCAAAATTATTTTAAAACTCATTTTAATACAATACTTCATCAATTAGAACTTGATCATTTAATAGAACATATTAATAATAATAATCTTGTTAATATTATTGATTCCTATGTTGGTTTAGGTTATGGTCGTATGACAGATGAACAAATCAGTTTTTTACGTACTATAATAAGTGAAACAGGTATTATTTTTGATCCGGTTTATACAGGCAAATGTTTATGGGGTCTACATGAAGAATTACGAACTAAAAAATTAGATCAATATTCTAATAATAATAATAAAAATATCTTATTTCTACATACTGGTGGTTTACTTGGTCTTATGAATCCTGATTATGGGAAACAATGGTTATTATCCAATAATAATCATATTCAAAATTGGATGAAACTTTAATTTTATCTTTTAAAATCATAAATAAAAAACTTTGATATATGTATTTATAACAACAAGAGAATAATGCTAAATATTTCTTTTCAGATGAGCACATCGATAAATAAAGTATTTGATAATGTTCCTGATTGTGTCGGATATCTTATTATGAATGAAGATGGTTCAGTTGAACATAGTCATGGTGATTTACAAAATAATGAACAAGCTGCTAATCAACTTTATAAAATAGTTTTATGTGCAGCTAAAATCAGTGTACATCCAAAAATGCAATTACCATTTAAACGTTTCACAAGTTTGATTGAATTTTGTTTTCAAAACATTTATAAATATTAAAATTATTTATTTTAGTTTCGGATGATCAATATGTTTATTGTATTGCATGTGCTAATCGTCGAATTTATGTTGCTAAACGACGACAAGAATCATCGGCACTTGCTTAAAACAAAAATTCTTTTTTTCCTTGCGTAATTCATGCTAGTTTTTCTTTCTTTTTTTCTCATGATGATTATGTATAAAATAAAATAAATCAAGCGAAGAAAATGAAGGTTCATTTTTATTTTAAGATAATGACAGAAAAAAAATTTATTTTTGTTCTTCCACCTGAACATGTTCGACGTAAGAGAATTTTGATTGATTTCAATAATTATCCATTGAATTATTTCATACGTAATAGATTTTGGTAAAACATTACAAGTTTTAACAAAACTTGGAGAAGAAATTTATATTGAATTGAGTAACAAAACAAATGGCGTAAATTAAATTTTCATTGATTGAATAATTCATTTCTCTTTTTTGTTTTTAGTTAAGTTTTCGTACAGCAAATCAATCACGTTCATCATATTCATGTATTACATTTAAACGTGAATTTTTTGAAGAATGGCCACAAGATGATATACAAAGAGAAAAAATAAAATGTCGAATTTCAGCTAAAGTATATTTTCTATTAATCAGAAAAGAGAATTAGTTGTTTGTTAAACCCTGCATATTGAATTGCTTCGCTCGTTTATAACTCCTATGAATTTGTTTCCCTACAATATTATTCTTTTTTATACGAATTTTAAGAAGTTTTATTTATTTATTTATTTAGCGATGTATGTCTGCTGTACATGCTGTTTTATCAAGTAAACTAACACGACTTGAACTTGTATTTGATGATCATAAATCTAATTTATCATTTATACTTCATTGTCGATATAGTAAATTTTGTTTAAATCAACAAAAAATATATTTCAATTTTTATTTTTCTAATAATAATATCTAGATATTGTTAAAGTTCATTCATGTTTTTATATTGATTGTGAAAAACTTCAAGCACGTTTCGATAAACAATCATATAAAAATAGTGTATCAATTATGAGTAAAACTTTACAAGAATTAACTGCACATTTTCCAGCTAAATGGGATGAAATAACAATTCGCGCAACAAAAGATCAATTTATTATTAAAAAATGTGATGAAATTGTTCATGATGGTTTGTATAATTATACAAAAATGAAAAAAAGATCAAATGAGAATTTTTTAATATTTAGATGATAGTGTTGTTTATAGTATGAATTTTCAAGTTGTATGTGAACCAAGAGAATTTATTAATTATGATATTCAATATAATTCAGATATTACATTTTGCTTACGAGAATTCAAAGTATAAAATTTCAATTTATTTGAATCTATATCAAACTTATTCTATTTTTGATTTAGTTTCTGTTGGGTTTAGCTGATTTACTTAATTTACCTATGACATTACTTTTCGATAGTCGTGGACGGTAAATATACAGAGTGATTGATAAGAAATAAAGATTATCGGATAACTTATGATCGACCCTTAGTATAATATTTATAAACTTACATTATTTTTCTATAGACCAATTATTTTCTGTTTCGATGCAGAAGAATTTTATTTTGATGGTATTTTTGTATTTGCTACAATTGCAAATCGTGAAGGTGAAACTGATCCATCTTTTACTGCATCTCAACCAAGTATAAAGTATGAATATTAAATGTTTTTGTTAATCGAATATAGTATTTTTGTATTTATTAGTGATATATCAACAATGGATGAAGATGATCTTGTGTCTTATCGACAATATACAATAAATACAACTGGTTTGAATCGAGGAGGAAAGAAACGTCCTGCACCATCATCATCACCATTACAAACGACTACAAATTTATCTGATATTAATAACGATCATACATCAATTATTAATCCTAAACAACGAGTAAATTTTTTTAATGAATGAAATCTCGATGATATAACATCGAAAAACTTCTTTTTTTTTATAGATAAATACAACTAATTATCAAGATACTACTACTACTACAGATATTGGAGATACAACATATATAGTATTAAGTCAACAATCAATTGTTGGATTACAACAATCAGAAGATATTATGGCTGATATGACAGAAGATGAAGATGAAGAAAATTAGAACAAAAGATTTTTCTTGTTACTTTTTTTATTTGTAATTATTGTAAACAAAAATAAGATATGCTCATTAGATGATATTGGATATAAACTATTTTCATAGGATATAAAGAAATTATATTCAATAAAAATATTTAACTCATGGAACTAGTGTTTCAAAAAACATCTTGAGGGTGTGTGTGGAGTATCGGTGTGTGGGTGTAGACATAGACGAGTGAAGAATAAATATCCACATCCACACCCCTTCCTCTGTCGATCAGCTTCATTTTACAAGCTAAGCTATGCACTTTACGATAAAAAATATTTCTTTTGTTTTAAATTCTGACACGAATAAAATATTCTTTTCATGATTTCTCATTTTAACTTATAAGAAAATCCATTTTTCTTTACTTCAAAATTATGCAATTGTTTCTATAATCTTTTATTTTTCTTTTTGATTTTAGAACGACTTTTAAATGTATAAATTATTGGTATCGTTTTTTCACTTATAAACTCTTGTATTTGTATTATAAAATGTTGGAGAAAATAGATAACTATAATGCCGTTCTCATTTCATATATATTTGATTTATTTTAGTTTTTATCAAAGGATTCTTCTCAGTAATAATATATATTTAGAGAGACTTTGTCATTTGTAGTATCATTATTAACTCTATTTTGAACTGACACTTCATGATTAAGATTAGAATTGTTATTATTCAGTCAATTATCATTGATATCTTTTGGTCTATGACAGTTAGAACAACAAATATGATCGTAATATTCTCTTAGAGTATGCAGATAAACAATCAATTGATATAAAATTTATCCATAAATGTTATATTGTTAATATATTCTTTACTACATAATCTATTTTCATTAGAATAAAACGAAGAAAAAAAGAAATAATTTTTTATCTTGAAGTTGTTCATAATTATATTCATATTTTGAAAGAATATTTTTATTTGATAAAATATTAGAGGAAAGAAAAGATGGCATCAACTCAATTTTTCTAATGTAATCATGACGATGCTGTTTTCTATTCACAAAAGAAGTTAATTTTTCCTTGCCATAATTATTTATTTAGATGTGCTTTTTAACGTAGCAACATTGTTTGTGTTATTGTGATTATAAATGACAGGTGTTTTCTGAAGCTTTCTGCTTCCATCATTTCTTTTCTGAAGAAAAATCGAAAAAAATTTCCAACTGATTTTATTCCTTTGAAGACAAAACATTTCATAGCAACACATAAATAAAAGAAAAATAAAGGCAAAACATTTAGTGGATGAATATTTTTCATTGAGAAAAAAGTACGTTAGAATGTGTTGTTATGATAAACAATTATTTTACAATACTGAAAAAACTGATTGTTTTGTTCTCAATTTACACTATTATACATAGATATCAATCATAATTATCACATTGATGAATAGAAACGGTACGACAGAAAAACAAATGCGAGATTTTTGAAATGTTGTTTTACTGTATGTTATAGACACTCGAAAAATCCAAGTGCAGTGAGTTTGAGTTAAGAAGACTGTATAGTTTGTTTTGGTTCTCTTGTCTAATCAAACAGCTCACCTGATCATTCTCCGTTTAGATACTAATGATCGACTTTATTCATTTTCCATAGAACTTAAAAGGTCTTTTTATGAATATATTTGTTCTCAAATAACATTTCAACACAAGCATATGATCTTTCTGAATGGATAATATTTTTTCTAAATAAAAAATAATAAGAACCCAGGGCGATGGGTGGATGCGAGATAAAAACAGCATCTTCATTCATACTCAAGCATACTCGTCAATTGACGATCCACTGTCATTAAAATATAAAAGAAGTTAAATAAATAGTTGCTCGTTGAAAAAAAACATCTATTTTGTAGTTATGTATGATACATTTAAATATTAAAAGAAAGTAAACACGTCATCAACTTTGTTTAGCAATTTTTCTAATGTAATTATGGAGATGCCGTTTTCCGTCTATAGAAAGTTTGCACATATTATCATCATTGTTTTACTCAATACACATGTACTTTTATAGAGTAATGTCCTTTTTTCTTTTTGTAATTACATCAAACCTAGATCTTTCCAGAAGTTGTCTGTTTCTATCGTTTCTTTTTGAAAATAATCAAAAAGATTGTCCAACTAACGTCTTCTTCTTTTGCAACATACATTATATATCACAGCAGCACATGAACGAAGAAAAAGAAAAGAAAAGCAAATTTTTACTGAATAAATGTTTTTCCTCGAGAAAAAAAAAACAGTTAAGAGTGTGTTATTATGATAAACACTTATTTAACTCATTTTAGAATAGTGAAAAAACCTGTTTGTTTTTATGTATCTAATAAACAAGTTGTTCTGTCATTCATTAATGCTATCATATATAGACATGGATCCCAATTATTTGGATCATTGTTACATTGATGAAAAAAATACGATCACCTATTAACTCACAAATCATAATGTTCTTTCATTAGTCAAACACTGAAGAATAGAATACTTCGTGTTAGAGTAAATTGAAAAATCCAAATTCAGTGAGTTTGAGTTTGGAAAATTATTCAATTTTCTTTATTTCTATATAAATTACGTGAGAATTGACTGATATATTGCATGAATATCTAATTTATATATGAGCAAAATGGCTTAAATTATGTTTACTTTTAAAAAAAAAATTTAATTTACGACTAAATATTGATTATTTTCTTTTCGAATCCAATTTTATTGAGTCGATTGTTTTATATTTTTTATTATTATTTATTTTCCATATAACAAAAAATGTCCTGTTTGTGAATATATTTGTCTCTAAGTAACATATCAACAAGGAAAAAGCGTCTTCGCAAATGAATATGCGTTTTTACAAAATTAAATAAAAGTCATGACTAGTTTTTCTATTAGATGGATGAAATGAAATAAGAAAAAGAGAGAGAAGAAGAAAAGAAGAAAAGAAAATAGTGTTTATCGCTCAACAGATGCTTTTTTTCTTATTCTTAGTCAAAGTCATTTCAACAACTTACAACTTAGTTGGTAATGCCTTCAAGAAAAATTTGTTTATGGCTTGTATTTATGATTATTACACAATCAGTCGGAGAAGATATGCGATCAGTTCGAATGTCTTCTATTCGTGGTCAGAAATTTTCATGTGCTACTCCAAGTTGTTTACCGTTCGCTAATATGATTACGTCGACTATTATGAAGTGTCAAATGGCCTGTTTAGCTCAAGTTTATTGTAGAGCAGCCAGTTTTCAACAATCAAGTTCTAATTGTGAATTATTTACTGATATGTCAAATGAAATTGCACATATGTTGCCTGATACCGACATTACTACTATGATTGTTATTACTGGATCACGATCTCCACCTGGTAAGTATAAATAAAGTAGATTTACAAAGAAATCATTTTAAAAGTATTGTTCATAGCACATCTGATAAAAGAAGATCCACAGAGGTATCGATGAAATTATGTAGGTATAGTAAGTGCAGCATATATGTCTCAAGTATGAGACAATCTTTTACTTTGACTGTTGTAGAAAAAGCCGTTCTAGTCAAAACATTTTCTAAGAAATCTAGACATATATTTTGGTGCATAGCTTTTAAGAATTATTCAAAATGGTAGAACATTTTCATTCTGAGTATTTTACATCTCGTTTAAGTTGTGCATTTTCTATATTTTCATTGAACCCCCATAGAACCTGGCAAGACATGCAATGTTGGATGAAGGAACTACAGAACCCCTCAGAAGCTGCTACCTTCTGCCGGACATCACAGAACCATACCGGAGCTGTCGCATCCCACGGAAACTCGCAGAACCTCATGGGAGCTGTCTCGTCCTACAGTGCTTTGCAGGACTTTTCAGAAGCCTCCACGTTTTGCAGAGTCTCGGAGAACCTCTCAGAAGCTGCTACATCCCGCAGGACCTTGCAGAACTTCCCAGAAGCAGTCACATCCCGCAGAGTCTCACAGGAGTTTCTAGAACCTTCCACGCTTTTTCAGACCATCGCACAACCTCTCAAAAGCTGCCACATCTTTTCGTGCCTTGCAACACTTTTCAGAAGCCTCCACGTTTTGCAGAGCCTCTCAGAACCTCATGGGAGCTGTCTCGTCCTACAGTGCTTTGCGGGACTTTTCAGAAGCCTCCACGTTTTGCAGAGCCTCACAGAACCTCATGGGAGCTGTCTCGTCCTACACTGCCTTGCAGGACTTTCCAGAAGCCTCGCAGAACTCCACGAAAGCCACCCATCCGATAGCACACCGATTACATTATTGACATACCGTATAGTTCTTGTAGCTGGTATGTGCTTACTCAGTGTGTATGGAGAGCTCAAGTAATTGAGCGAGAGGAACTGTGCGACAAGCCAGCCTTCTGGACAGCGCGAATTTTGCAGTACAGACTTTCGCAAGTGACTTTTGGCAATTGCCAAAAGTCTTAATTAGTGTAAAAATTATTAATTAATAATATTTCGTAAACTGTATTTTCGGCAATTTTAAGAGATGACCTGTCTGAAGAAAGCAGCTTGCATTGCAAGTGGCCTGCATTGCAAGTGACCTGCGTCGCTAGCCACCTGCATTGCAAGGCACCTTTCGATACAAGGTGCTCAGCCGGTTGCGGATATGAGGGTTTCTCCTTCATAGATACCTACACCTACACCCACCTCCATCAATACAAGAATTCTTCAGTAAGTCATCGTTGGTCGAGCACTTTGCAAAGCAGGGTGATTGCATCGCTCACGTCTTACAATGCAGGTGGCTTGCAATGCAAGCCAGTTGCGATGCAAGCCACTTGCAATGAAGGCCACTTGCGATGTAGACCACTTGCAATGCAAGCTGCTTTCTTCAGACAGGTCATCTCTTAAAATTGCCGAAAATACAGTTTACGATATATTATTAATTAATAATTTTTCCACTAATTAAGACTTTTGGCACTTGCCAAAAGTTCTGTTTTTTTTGTATTTTCGCCGTAACGAAACTGGACTATTAGCCTATTGCCTAAAGTTCAGTTTTGATTTTGCCGAAAATCCAGCGAAAACACAACTTTTGGCAATTGCCAAAAGTCACTTGCGAAAGTCTGTACTGCAAAATTCGCATTCCCCAGCCTTCTGACCAGAGCTGCAGCTAGCAGTACTCGTAGGGAAGATATCGGACTAAAGACAATGTTCTTGGACCTCACCCTATACTGAAACGTAGCCGACAGGTGGAGTATTCTTCTTCTTCTTTTAAAGTAAAGATTGTAGAAGTACAATTATAATTAGCGGCGGCGCCAGGAATCTTGACTAGAGTGGGCTCAGGCTTAATAAATTTGAAACAGGGTAGGCTCAGGCCCAGTAAAGTTCAAATAAGGTGGGCTCAGATAGAATATCATTGGTTTTTTCAAGATCTGAAAAAAAATTTCAGGGTAAGCTGAGCGCACCCCAGCCCACCCTTGGCACCGCCACCAATTATAATGTAAGCCGTCTAAAGATTTACTATTCACTCCTAATGTACTCATATTTATAGTAGATATAATAATTACAGAAGAAGAAGTAACAAACTAGGAGTAGACCCATAACCATTTGTTTAGTCTCATTCTGACCTTATGTCTGTAATATAGAACCCACTACGACAACATCAACGTCAACCACAACATCAACAACTACAACAACAACTACAACAACTACAACATCAACATCAACATCAACTACAACGTCAACCACAAAATCAACCACAACATCAACTACAAAATCAACTACAACGTCAACTACAACAACAACAACAACAACTACTGCGCCATGCATGCAGGGTAGGAAAGAATATTAATCTCAGAAGCAACTACACGAAGTGATTATTTTAGTGAATACACTGTATAAATTTGGTTGATAAATAGTGATGCTATACTTAAAATATTCATAACGATATGAACTACAAGAGATTACAAAACTATACACTCGAAAATACGATGCTATTGGAATGTTTCAGAGTTTCTGATTTTGTTACCATCTGATATACTTAAAGATCATGAAAAAGATAGTTATCATAGTATGTACTATAACGATTTCCAAAATGGATTAAAGTTTTTCAAACTCGATAAAACTTCGAAACTTTTCATAATATCAAGACTACTAAGCCTACCTAAACGGTTTTTGAAACGTTAGAAAGCTTTCAGAAAATTCAATTGCATAGTATATTTTTGCTATAATCACTACTTCTAGAAGAACGACTGATTACATTAACAATAGATGCGATATTTAACAAACAGCAAAGCATTGTGTTACGTATCTAAATGAGCCTAAACATAAGCACCAGACATTCATCAAACTCGAACACTCGGAATCGATTTTGGGTGCAGTTTTTCCATACCAGAGACCGGCGGGACAAGGGTTTTTCTGTCCCGTCCCGTCCCGCGTTGATAACAAACTATCCCGTCGCGTCCCGCCTCCCGCGCAAAAAAATTTCAGCGTCCCGTCCCGTCCGTTCCGCCGTCTCTTATCAAAAATTTTTATCAATTTATTTTATATACGATAAAGGTTTACGTAGTATTCCACTATTAGTTTTCTTTTACTATTTATTTTCTTTAACTATTTATTTTTAAATAAATGTATTAAATAATTAAAAAATATTAATTTGAAAAAAGTTTAGTTCATAAAAAAATAATCATTTAATAATATTGATCGAACAAATAAAATATTATCTACTTGAGATGGAGAAAAATTAGTTCGACGTTCAGTTACAACTTGACCTTATTTAGAAGCTGTAGACAAAGCGAATATACAGCATAGTTCTCGAATATTATTTGTTTCACTTAGTACAAGTTCATTGTTATTAAAGCAAAGAAAGACTTACATTCTTTCTTTCTGTAGAACAATTACGAATATATACGTAGTATAGGTCTCATGAGGATGATAAGGAGAAAAGCGATCATATATTCGAGATAAGAAATAGCGAATAAGATCATTCAAATGTTCTTTAAAAGGTACCGTTACTAACAATATTTAGCGTTTTTCTTGTAAATAAGTCACTGAAGTATATAAATTCAATGAATATTGACCGCGGGACAATTTCGTATAAAGTTTTACCCCGTCCCGCAGTCAATAATATTTGTCCCATCCCGTCCCGCGTTTTTAACAAATTCATCCCGTCCCGTCTCGTCCCGCGATAGGCCTTAAAAAATGTGTCCCGCCGGTCTCTGTTCCATACTTACCACTCATATAAATTTTAATGAAACTCCACTAGCGTCCATTATTCCACCACAAAGCAAAAGCCAGTGGCGTAAATAGGGGGGAGCGCGTGGGGCGCATACCCCCCCTTCCCCCTACTTCCAAAAATTAATAGGAAAAAGGAGTTTGCGTCCCACCTGCTTCTAGAAAATTCACTTTTTTTGACCATTAAAATAGAAAAATTAGGCTTACGCCTCCCCCTACACCCCCCCCTGCTCCGACACCTGACTTACGCCCCTGGCAAAAGCCATAATTTTCAGTAATATAGAACTCCTTAGTTTATTTTAATTGTAAAACAGATTTCTGTAACTGCGAATTGAAAAGTACAAAATGCTTGTTAATATTATTGATTACTTTTTATTTTGAAATAGTCACGTACCCGTACGATGCTCGTAGTTACTGGCCAATGGAAAACAATGCTCTTGATACCATATCAAATCTTAATGGAGTAGGTGTCAATTCACCTACTTATGTAACACCTGGCATCACCGGTAGTGGATATGCTTTGAAACTCATTCATAATAATAATCAATACATAACAATATCAACCTATCAAAGTTTTGTTTCTACCAGTTTTACAGTGGAAATGTGGATTTATCCTACTTCAATGGACAGTAATGGTCTTTATGGGCTTTTCTGTCAATATGAAGCACAGACTACAGATCATGATTTTTTAATTGCAATTATTCATACAAGATTAGGGTATAGTTTTTATGATGATGATGCCAATAGTGTAACTGCACTGTCGGCAAACACTTGGTATCACGTAGCGTGTGTTTACGATTATTCATCTCGAACACAAACCCTTTATATAAACGGAGTTCAAGAGAGCAGTCATAGCTCAGCTGGGCCATATCTAGGTGCAAGCGGTGCTATAACTATTGGAAGCTATTATTATAATAGTGCCCAGCAGCCATTCGACGGGTAAAGAAAAACAATTTGATCATTAGTTTTATTCATTTAGTTGAGTTTAAAACGCCCAGTGTTAGAAGTATTGTTCATTCTATCTTCGACATTATTAATTAATTTGTTACAAATCTTCATAAATTGTTATGTACTCATATAAATTGCATCTTCATTCGTACTTTTTCAGCTCATCTTTTAAAGAGCCTAGGACTTGAATAGAAATGTAAATAGTTGATTCATTTTTTGTTTACATATTATCCTTGTATATTTAGTTATATTGATCAAGTTGCGCTCTACATGAGAGCTAGAAGTGCAAGCGATATTCTTTCAGACGCTACCTTGGCCTCATGGCATTCATTTGATTGTGGAATATCTTATGATTCAGGTCCAAATAGAATCAATGGAAGGGCTAATAATGTTATATTAGCATCTGGTAGAGTGAATCAAGGATTAAGCTTTAATTCGTCCTCGTCTTATTATCAGGTACGTCGCCGACTTAGTTGAGCTTTTCACTATTAATATTGTACGAATCAGAAAATCTGATACACAAGAGTTCATGTATTTTCCATACTAGAGCCTTACCACTTAAAAACCAAATCTTGTCTCCAAAAGACATTTGAATAATTCCAATAAAAACCATGATAAAGTCTGATATATAGACACAAATATTTTCCTGGTAAAAATGATCTTGAAGAACATATCGAGATCAAAATAAAATTTTTAACTGACTAATAGCCAGAACAAAAGATTCTTTATGATCAATGATTTTTTTAAAGTTTTTTTTACTCGTATATGCCACGTGCAGCCCTATTTCGTTTATGAAATATCCTTAACCATACTATCAAAGTATCTAATGATGCCATTCTATGAATTTTTTAATTAACATACTAGCAAATTATGCCATCAAGAAAAACGTTTTCTTCCGATAGAATATATAGTTGCACAGGAAAAACGAAACAAAGAGATTTTAATTTAAATTTTGACCATACACGAAGTTCTAACGATATTTAACGTTTTCAAATTTTCAACAATAACAGTTATTTCTTTTTAACTTAGTATCCGTATATGGAGGATCCATAATCTCTGTTTTTGTGGTTAGCTCCTTCTTGTTGCGAATGAAAGATTCTTCGACTTTTAAGGGTTAAATACATACAATTGAAATATAAAAGTATATTGTATGTCATACATAAGAATGGTCAAGATAAGCGAACAAAGTAATATACGTCGTTTCATTGATTCATAGGTAACTGAAAGAGTATTGTCATATATTTTATAACAAACTTCTATGTGCACGTTTGTAAAATACTGTTGTGAAGATATCTCCAAAGAAAGAAATTATGTTTACTAGCATTTTTGTCAAAATGACATCGATAACCGGCGGCTCGTTAGAAGTTTCTAGAAAGTTTCTCTAATAAACTAATCATAGATTATTTGCTGAAGAAAGTAGTATAAAGAAGTTCAAAAAACATCCCAAACTATGATACGGCCATGTAATATATAAGAATCATTTAGATACCTGGATATGTTCTTCTTGGAATCGCAAGCAGTTCGTTTTCAATGTCACTATGGGTACAACGAACGTCGACAGGTGGAGGAACTCTTGTTGAATACGTGGACCAAACAGGTACACAAGGATGGTGTACTACTCCATTAGGATTTTCCTCTTCTGGTAATATAGTTGCCAATGCCTTTCTTCCAGATACCCAGGTAACAGGTCCTGTTCTATCGGTCCTCACATGGAAGCATATTGCCACTACTTATTCACAAACGCATGGGCTTACATTGTATGTTAATGGAGTATCTGTTGGAAATACAGGTGCACAGGCCAATAATGCACCAAATACAGCAGTCACTCTGACATTGGGCAACGCACTAATTAGTGGCTATTGTGATCCACAGTCAATTACAAGAGGTCCATTTTATGGCTATTTAGATGAATTTCGTGTCTACTCACGTGAACTCAGTGCCGCAGAGGTTTCTGGACTTGCTAATCCCTTATGAAACTATATGAACAGTGTTTTTTTGTCTAATATGTCGTACGTTTCTAAAACTATCTAGCTATACCTATTCATTTATTCTAGCCACAAAGCACTTTTACACAAGCAAGTTATTGATTCAAGTTTTTTTTAGCTTTTCAGTATACTGTTTCTTTTTTTTTTGCTTTCCTATTTGTGGTTCGAGTGATCGCATATATATTCAGTTGCTGCTTTTTTCGTCTCTTCTAATCCTCCTCGTTATTATTGCTTGTGTTTTTCCTTATTGTATTTTATTCATTGTCATCAATAAAATTATTATACTCATCCTCATCTTCCATTCATCTACTCACTCAAGACACGGTAGGCATTTTTCAGAGTGAGTTTTCTCGTGATAGTCTGTTGGTCCCGACTATCTAGTTCGTTATTCGGCCTACGATTATATTGGTGACTGAAGTCAGTCTAGACCCCTTGAACGAGAACCTCACATTTATAAATAAAGTTCTTTTTTTAGAAGGTGAGCGGTTGGGTTTGACGTAGTACCCACGACAATACGTTATCTTTTGAATATACTATTCTTATCAAGTGTGGGTATAGTTATGGGCGTGAAAAACTGCCATAACCACTTTCGTCCTTGTTCAAGGGACTCATCAGATGGCTTTAAAGCTTAACTTGAATTAAATTCAAAATAAAATAAATTAAATTAAGATCTAAAAATATATCAAATGAAAATCAAGTAAAACCAAAATTAAATGGAATCATATGGAAAGATAATATTATTACTTTGTTACATACAGAGTGTTTGTTATATGAAGAAATAGTTTTAGGAGTAGATTGTGAAAATTCGGGAGACTTTGATACGTAATATTAATTATAAAATTAATCAACTTATCTGTTATTGTTGTACGTTATGATATAACAGAACTTTGAGGAGTGTAGTTTCCACTACTGATGAAAGGAGGGTTATATATCGAGCAGATATCACACAGAAAACGAGTTGAAGTCTGTCCGTTCGTTCACTCTTATTGGCTGATAAAAACTTATAAGCCTTTCCTATTATAAGGATTGACCGAAGGGTAATCGAGGTCGAAGAATTTGAATCTGGAGTCAATTTTAAAAAAAAACTTTTTGTAATATTTTTTGCTAGACAAAGGAACACCTTGTGGGTGTGCGTCAGGCTTGCTAAATCGTAGTTTTAAAATCAGGGTTTTGAGAGGAAAAGTCAGCAGTTTATCAGGAGATCTTTTTTAGATATTCAAGAGCTACTACTTGGCTTTTGTTAGATAATATATAACCTTTAAGTTCTTGTATGTTTATGAATATGTAAAGAACTGGTAAATGTGTAAAACTATTTTTTTAATCAAGAGGCTTCAGTTTGAAAAAAAGCATAAAAAGCAAAGTTTTCCTTGTTGGTTGTGGTGCCATGAACTTTTGATCATATCAAAGGGAAAAAATGATTGCAATCAAAGTATTCTTTGGAAATCATTAACATTCATAAGCAATTTTTAACAATGAACAATGAAGTGTTTGTAAGCAGTTTAGTCGTGATTTCCAGGAAAAAACCTGCTATAGTTTGGTCTATATAAAAGATGACTTTACACTATTCTGATTGATAGTAATATAGCGATTTTGTATACTCATAATATAAGAGAAAAATTGTGCTAAGATCTGATTGACTGAGTAGTTTTCGCATTAAGTAATCATATTTTCGTAAAGATTTGCTGCACCGTTATGAAAGCAGAATATCACACTCTCCAACTAATCTAGAATTATTACAAGTCTCCTTTTACATAATACAGACAACATTGCAATATGTCCGCTGTAAAGAATAAAAATTCAAGTATATACGGCATTTGTTTGTTATTGTAGCGTAATTGTTTTTATTTTGGTTTAGCTGAACAATATGTTTAGCACGCAGTATTAAGAGAGAAAAGTCATTTTGAAGTTGAATTAAATTATATATTCTATCAGCAATCACCGACAATCGTTCGTAATTATTCATAATCTTCGATAAATAAGGCATATAAAAATTCAATTCCCATCCACTCCTCTTCCCGCTTGGATTTTATTTTAGGGTGTGGGTGTGGGTGTATCTTATTTATGTCGCCTAAACCAACAGTCACACCCATACCCTAGTAGTTTTATTGTTAAAGATTTACAACACTACATCTTGAGGGTGTGGGTGGGTGGGTGTGGGTGTGGGTGTTGATGAGAATGAGATCGGTGTCTAAAAA